CCTGAAGGCAAAATGGACATAAATAACCTCAAGAGCAGATATTTATAAAATGTAGAAAAATTAAAAAGAGTTGAGTTTTGAAATGTTCTGATTTCAATGAATTCCATTATCACTTGACCTTTAATTTCTTTTGTTACAAAGTCTAACTTCTTTATTGTGTTCAAGTATACAGAAGGTAAAATCTACCAATTTTTTTTTTTTAAGATTTATTTGTTCACACAGAACTGGGGTACAGGTCAGAGGTGCAGGGGCAGTGAGAGACTTAAGCAGAGACAGAGTGGGGAGCAGAACAGGCAGATTGACAAAGCACACTGCTGAGGGAGCAGCAGGTAAGACCTGAGAGGTCTGCCAGGCCATGTGGGTCACCTCCAGGGCCAGGGATTGAACTCGCACTGAAGCGGCTGCAGCTAGCTAGCAGTGCTGCGTCCTAACCTGTTGCACCACCAGGGAGGGCTGAAATTTCACCCTCTTCATGACTAGATAAAAATAATACCATTGACTACATGGCAGTTAGCTATTCATTGTTGATGGGCAGCTGGATTCTCTCTGCCTTTGGGCTATTGGAACAATGCTGCTGTGCACTGGTTAGAGTAGGTGTTTGAGTCCCTGCTTTCACTAGTCTGTATTTAACAAACAACTAACAAAAGTCCTGAAATTTTAATTATCACCTCTGAAAAGCCAGTTGGAGCTGGCTCCAGCATGACACCTGGAGCCCCAGTCAGACGCAATCAAAGGCCAGTTTGGGATTCGAATCACTTTATCAGCATCTTCCAAACTGGTCTGATGATAAGAATTGCCTGGGACACTGTTTAACAATACTGATTCCCAGGTCTTTGTGGATTCTGATTCTGAAGTTCTGAGACAAGATGGTTTTTCCCTTGGGATTTTTCTCATTCTGGAAAACCTGTTATTAGACAACCCCCGTCTCACCAAATCTGTATCTCAAGGTGTGAGGTACAAATATGGTGTCTTGGAAGAGAGGAGCAGAGTTAACTCCCTCAGGGACACATTGCTGCAAATTTTTTTTCACTGTTGCAAATTTCAGGGTGGCAATTTTTCCTGTTGAAAATCCTTTCCAGCTCCACTATGCATTGGTTAAGCAATTCTCTCTTGCTCATCTTCCTGAAGGCCATCTTTGGAGGGGAAAACCTCCCAGACAGAGCCAAGTGGAAGTCATTTGGCCCAACAGTCATCATCATGGCAGAAGCTTGTGTGTCATTAGATGCTTTAGAAAGGTATTCTGAGGATGCAGTGCTATTTTGATACCCTGACAAAATATTTTTAGAGCTCATGAAACCCAAATTAAAACATTGCTACCAAAAAGAAAAAAAAAAGTGAAATTAAACCAGGACTCTATTAGATGGAAAACAACAGCGAGAAGTGAAGTAGAAGTAACCAAATGTCTTTAAGAACCATTTTGAAAGAGATGAAGAGGTGCTGCTGACAGCGAGCAGCCCTGTGCCGAGGCCTGGCCAGGGGAAGGGGAAGGCAGGCGCTGTCCTGCCAGCTTCATCTTTGTGTTAGTGCAGGTGGAACTCCCCTCAGGGCTGGGTGTAGACTGCAGCAGGGACACAGTTCTCCAGCCTCCTGTGGAGTGTTTAAGGTTCTTCCCGCCCTTCTGTGCAGTTGCTAGTTACCTGGGTTGGGGTGGGTTTGGAAAGGGCTAGTGAAGCCTAGGACCTCCTGGCCTTCTTCCCCATCCTGTTTTCACCAGACCAGCCCACTCTGAGGTTTCTCACAGTGTCTCCATTTGAGGGCCTCCAGAGCTCAGATTTAAGGACTCAACAGACCTGAAAAACCACTGCTGAGAAGGCCCGTGCCCTCAGATTATACTTCTCAGATCACTGGTTTCTAAGTTATTTGAATCTGCAAACCTTTCTGATTATCTGATGAAAGATCCAGTTTCAGCTCTCAAATCCATTCAGCTGAGCCCATGGTAAGAAACAGTGGCTTAGGTAATGGTTCAAAGCCTAGAGGCCTTGGGGTTGGGATGCTTGGTCCACAGCTGGGCAATTTCACATGACCTTCAGACTCAGCATCCAGCAAGGTGGATAATTCAGAGCAAAGTCAAGAAGCTTCTTTGGGAAATGCTAAAACCTTGGGTTTCTTATCAAAGAAAGGAACAGAGAATTCTTTTACAGGTTGAATGTCTCTGTGTCACTAACCTGGATGTAAATATCTTATTCTATGAGAAGTATTGGCACATTGGCATTCCATGTCCCCCCAATTCAGGACACGCAGCAAGAATTTGTGAGCACCATCATGTGCAGTGGAGGTGACACACAACGACTGAGTTGGTCTGTGCCATGTACCATGAAGGGTATGGAGTCTGTATAAGTGGAGCAGGGGGGCAGGGCAAATTAACACCCCCACCTCCACCTGCCTAAAGTATATGACACATTCTTTTTACTTATTTATTTTTGTTTATTTATGCATACAAGAACTGGAGGGTGGGGTGGAGGTAAGAGGATTCACCAGACACAGTGAATGGAGAACAGGTGGACTGACTGAAACACACTGCTGAGGGGAGCAGCAAGAACACAGGAGAGGTCTGCTGCGCCATGTGGGTCACCTCCCCGGCTGGAGATCGAACTCATATCACAGTGGCTGGTGACAGCATGATAGTGCTAAGATTTTAACCCCTGTGTCACCAGGGAGGCACTGTTTTGTTGTTCTTGTTTTGGTTTTTTAAATTATATATTGAAGGGATGGCACAGGTGAATGACTTGACTTCTCCCACAGTCATTTTATGCAAACCAACTGGATTGGGAAGAATGTCTCCCAAAAGCAACACATTTTTGTTTTGTTTTAATTAATGTTGAGTCCATTGTTCCTGACTGCCTTTCGGTTCAATTATCTCTTCAGGCTGCTCCTTATGGGTGATAATAAAACCATTATGGGAAGAGGTAAAGCATCTTGATTGTTGGAAGCTTAGGGAGGGGAAAAGAGGGGTGAAATGGGTGAGGGATAGGGAGCAGGCAGGGACAGATAACATTTATGTCTTCTCTGAGTTGTAGATATTATTTGGGATAGGGGAAGGAATATATATAAATTAAATTCTTTTTTTTACTGCTTTCTTCTAGTCTTGGTTCATAATCATGTCCACTTACCTAAGTATGAGTTAAACAATGCTATATTCTTTTGTGTTCTATTTTTTTTTTAATTTTTTTTTAAAGATTTATTTATTTGTACATACAGAACTGGAGTACAGGCCAGAGACTCAGGGGCAGTGAGAGACTTCACCAGAGACAGAGTGGGGAGCAGAACAGGCAGATCAACGAAGTACACTGCTGAGGGGAGCAGTGGGCGGGTCAGAAGAGGTCTGCCACGCCATGTGGTCTCCTCCGGGGCAGGCGGGAATCGAACTCATGCGGAAGTGGCTTTAGCTTCTCAGTGCAGTGCTTTAACCCGCTGCGCCACCAGGGAGGGCCTGTGTTCTATTTTTTAAACTTAGCACGATACTTTAATGATGTTATTTATTACTTAAAGTAGTTTTCAAAAACAGAAACAGCTTTTTTTAATTAAAAAAGATAACTATATCTAGCCACAGTCACTTATTTGTTTGTTTATCTACTTGTAAAAGAACTGGGGAATAGGCCAGCAGCACCAGGGTTGAGAGGATTCACCAGAGACAGGGTGGGAAGCGGAGCAGGTGGATTTATTGAAGTGCACTGTTGAGGGGAGCAGTGGGAGAAGTCTGCTGCGCCATAGTGGGTCAGGTCCCTGACCGGGGATTGAGCCCAGGCTCTAACTGTCTCCTCGGCCCCTAGGGAGTTACTACAAAACAATCTTGACTTTAAAGCTCAGAGGACAGACCTTCCAGTCTAGAGTTAGTGTCACCTTGTTCCCCAGGAACATTGAGCCACATGTCACTGCCAAGTGGCAGTACCACTGCCAGATTGCAAGAGGGAGGGCTGGGGGGGACCATGTGGCCAGGTGCAGCCCCGGACGGTCAGACCCAGTGCCCTCGAAGGCAGGAGAAGAGGGCCCAGGGGACACGAAGGCAAGGGCCAGGAGACAGAGCCCTGTGTTTTGGGGAAGAAGATGCAGTTTAAGCGAGTAGCTGAGGCTACAACCGTCTTACCACTGCCCACCACACCCCATGCACACTGATGAGGGGGTGCTGGTGCCCTGGTAGGGTGAGGTCTCTGCCTAGTCCTGGTGTCTTGGAGTGCCCCGGCCAGGAGGTGCGGAGAACCCCTGTGACAATCATCCTCCCCCAACACACACACACCCCTGCCTATCCTGGCCTTTCAGAGTTAACTTCCCTGGCTTCAGATCTCTGGAAGACAGAACAGAGTGAGGAAAGCCCAAATGCCCTCACCCTACTTAGTGGCCACTAACCAGGGGCAAGTTACAGGACCTATAGGCGTCTCCACTCTTCTATGAACGAGATCACTCACCCTAGGGAAAATTGCCCTGTGGGTTAATGGAGACACAGGACAGTGGCCTGTACCATTCTATCCTGTCCTCCCCCCGACAGTTGCACCTCCCAAGCTGGCACCACTGGCTTTTTAACTTCTTGGAGACTGCAGAGGGATAGAAGAGCTGATCAGTCATATTAGAAATTTACTGTGTCCTGTGCTTTTTCTCTAGTCCTTTGTTAAAGACCTGCCCAAGTTCTTTGTTCTTTGTCCAGAACTGGGAAAGAATGTCACAAACCCTGGTCCTCACACTCAGGGAACCTGGCGTGTAACTGAGGCGGCAGGAACCACACCCCAGGACAGTTTTTCCAAAAGACTTACCAGGGTTCACAGACAGTTCTCTCGGGGTGAGGCGTGACAGCGCCCACTGGACAGTAGTAAACTTGAACACCATCATGCGTCTACCTGGCACATCTTGCTCTGCACCCTAGTCCAGCTCCCAGGTGACGTTGATGGCTGCTGGCCACCCCCAGGAATGAGGATACAGGGCGGGGGCTGGGCTCTGTGTTGGCAGTTACCATGGTTTTGCTCAGAGTTCTGGAGCCAACCTGCTCACTCCCTGGATGCTCAGGTCACAGAAGCAGCAAGTCAGAAGCCTAAAGGGACAGGAGTGCCGCCCTGGAGCCCACCAGAGCCCCTGTGGGCATGGAGGCCTCAGATGGGCAAGGGGGTGAAGAGGAGAAGCCACTGGAGAAGGTGAGGTGGGACTGAGGATGTGACGGAAGGACTCAGGGAGGGCTCCCTAGAGGTTTGCTTTGGAAAGCAGAGAACATGGAATCAAGGAAGAGAAGGGAAAATGACGCGGCCCATGAGCTTAACAAGAGGCTCAAAGAGCAGGAGGTCAACTCATTCAAACCGGTTATTTACTAAGGACATACTTTCCTGGGAAGATGATGGGAAGAGGGTCTTACCTCATTGGTTATGAAGACAGAAGGGCGTGCACGTATGTGTGTGTGTGTGTGTGTGTGTGTGTGTGTGATTGTTTGCTGATTGTGTAATAGCGCGAATTTATGGAGTTGATTAGCCAGAGGCCCCTCTGGTGCCCAAAGGAACCCATGTCCCACATGCCCTCCGTTCTTGGCCCTCCTTCCTCAGCCCTGCTCACTCCATCCAGAGTGCTCCAGCCCTGAGCCTTTCTTGGTTTCCTTGAACACAGGCCAGAGTTAATTCTCATCTTTTCTGAGGGACTTTTGAAAGGCCGACTATGTCAGTTTAATCCTCTCCTTTGATTTCTAGTATTAATTCAATCCCTCTGTCTTATTAATTTTCAACTTTCTTTTTCCACTCTTGCTGTCGAAAGATTCCTTCTTGTTATTACCATTACCATCACAGGTTTTTCTGTGCAACATTAGCATGGCACAATGCTAAAGGTTAGACATGCAAAAACATAGGCCTGAACTTAGGCAATTGAATAAATGGTGGCTAAATGAATGGATGCGTGAATCCCTGTTCATGCTCCCACAGAGTTAACCATGTGGAGAAGTTCTTGGAGACTACAACAAAATATAATGACTAATAACATTCAACAGTCAACAACATGGGCCCAGATTTCTTTGCTCTGCAAGAAGGTTTAATGCAAAAAAAATTATTTGAGGACTTCAATCCCCTGGTACCTCAGTGCTCTCGTCTGTAACCAGGAATAACAATAGCTACCCTCACAGTTTGTGGGAGAATAAAACGATTTAATGTTTATCAAGTGCTCTTCAAAGTTAGGGTATGCAATCTGCTATAATTATTATTAAAGAAATGGGTAGGGCATTCTTGGCTTTCAAGCAAAGATGGGTTTCTGGGCCCAGGGCTCCCTTGCCTCAAAGCTGGCTCCAGGAAGAGGTCATAGGGAAAACGAGAAAGGTTTGGGCCAGCGCTGGGGCCTGGCACCGCCCACAGAAGCAGTAGCTGAAGCCCCCCACTGACCCCTGCGCCCTGCCTCTTCCCAGGTGACTGATGTGCCCTGCTCAGAGAAGCGCTCCAGCTCTACCCTGGCCAGGGACTCGCTTGTGCGCCACGCCAAAGGCCTGGGCCAGGACACCTTCAAAATCGTGAGTGTGGGGCCGGACACAGACCCCGCCCTTGAGCTCTCTCCTCCACAGGTCAGGAGACCTGTAACACAGCTCACACCTGCATCACAGCCTCCCAGCGCATCCCCTCACTTGTCATGCTCTCAGGAAGGAAGACGAGTAAGAGGTTGGACTGGAGCCTCCTTACTTCACACACACAGTCCTCCCTGGGTGATGGGGTGGTAGCTGTGCCCACCCGCAGGATACTCAGGCCTGTCTGGCTCATCATCTCTCTCACTTCACCTGTTGCCTCCTTAGTGTAAAGAATATCTAAGGCCGCTGAAGAAGTTCCTGCGAAAGTTGCATCCACCCAGGGACCTTCCTGAGAAGAAGAAGCTAAAGTACATGGAGCAGAGTCTGGTGGTCCTAGGGGACCACATCAACACCTTTCTGCAGCATTACTGCCGAGCCTGGGAGATCAAGCACTGGAAAAAGTAGGGCAACCTCCTTGTCGTCCTCACCACACCACACCTGGGCCACCCCTTCTCCATTCACGGTCACGCCTCAGTTCAGATCCCCCAGCCCTTCTTCTTCAGTGTGTAGAGGAGTCAGTCGGGACCCTGGAATGAGCTTGGTGAAGAGGGAGAGAGAACAGGGTTCCTTAGTCACTCAGGGAAGCCCTGAAGGCACATTGGCTGTGCACATCGAGGATGAAGACCTCTCCTGACTGAGAATGTTCTTTGATTGAATTACCAATGTTCAAGTGTGTGGCACAGGTCCTCATCACCAGGACAAGGTATTCAAGGCAAAGCCCTCCTATCCATGCCCCCAACCAAGACCCAGTGAGACAGCCTCCCTCAGACCTGTGTTTCTCTCCCTACAGGATGCTGTGGCGATTTGTCTCCCTCTTCTCAGAACTGGAGGCCAAACAGCTTCGCAGGCTCTATAAGCACACAAAGGGCAACCAGAGAGCCAAGTTCCTGGTGAGACTTGCAGGAGAGCTCTTCTGGGTGCAGTTGAGGGGCTGGTGTGTTGTAGGATTGTTGGGGGGAGATCTAAACTGAGGGGCCCTGTGATAACACCAGTGCCCACTGAGTCCATTCTGAGGCTTGCTGCCTGAGAAGACCTCACTGCTCATCCACTTTACTAATCATCTACAGTAAGCACAGTAAGCACAGATGGGCTAGAGAGAGCAGAAACTCTGCTTCCGGAGTTCGCGCTCTGTTCACCCTCCACAGGTGCCTCATGTTTGCAGGGACAGGGACGTGCCTGAGGACCTGGGGAAGGGAAGGCACAGCTAGCTTAGGGAGGGCCCCTGTGACTGTCTGCAGAGCCTGGCCCGGCATTGTCTGAAGGCAGTGGTTCTCAAACACGGTCTCAGGTCACTTCTGTCCTCGTAAAAATCAGTGAATGTGCCCTGGCCCCCAAAACATTTTTTTATGATCTTATTTCTTTTGATATTTGATCTGTTCACAATTAAGGTTAAAGGAAAAGTTCAAAAATATGTGCTTACTAGTTCTCTTAAAAACAGAAACAAGGCATTCATTATAAGTTAACATAAATTATTTTTCTTTTGGAAAAATAACTTTCTTAAAAACAAAAAAAAATGTAGTGAGAAGAGTGGCATTTCACTTTTCTGCAAATCTCTTCAGTATTTGCCTTAGTGGAAGACAACTTGATTGTTAGACATGCTCAGGCAGTCAGTCTCGAGGTAGATTGATTGGGTTGAAGTACATGAAGGAAACCTGATCATGTAGTTGAAAACAGAAGCATTTTTGGATAATCATGGATTTTTTTATACCAATCCTGAACATCAGTTGGCTTTTAAAAGTCCATAATTTTGAAAGTAGCATAGGTTTACAGAAATATTGACTAGCAGTAGTGTTTATATATATATATACACACACACACACACACACACACACACATATATACAAATATATGTATAGGTGTGTGTGTGTGTATAGATACACACACACATATATACACACATGCACATACACATTTATCCCTGTCCTGTTTCCCTTATTATTAGCCTTCTGCATGAGTGGAGTGGAGTGTATTTATCATCACTGATAAGCCAATATGCACTTGTGTTTTTGCGTTGTACATTTTCTAGGTTCTGACAAGGTGCAACCACCACTACAGTATCTTACAGAATAGTTTCGCTTTCCTTAAAAAAGCCCCATGCCACTAAATGATGTAAAAATAAACTAGTATATTAAAATTTAAAAAGTGAAAAAGAAAAAAAAAAGAGCCCCACGTTCCACCTATTTATCCTTTTCTCCTTCTCCCCAAAGAACCATGGACTTTTTTGCTATAGTTCAGCCTTTGCCAGATGTCAGAGTCAGGTCACAGAGTGTGTAGCCTTTTCAGGGTTGTATTCATGAGCTTTCAGTACTAGGTTGCATTACAATGCCCTGATTTCCCCCCTCCTCCTTTTCGGGGGCTCTGTAAGGTCAAAAAAAAATTTCAGGGACCTCCAAGGTTCACAGAACACACTTTAAGAGCCACTAGTTAAAAATAATAATTATAGGTAACAGTTTCTATGGCCAGGCCCTTCATGTTCCCTCCTGTGATCTTCAAAAGTAACCTAAGTGGTAATTAGAATTATTGTCCATGGAATATAAATGGAGATGCCAAAGGGCTGGGGGGTGACGTCACTGGGCCAAACCACAGGCAATTGGGAGAGAAGAGCTCTGAGGAAAGCTGGCTCCCACACGCCCCCCAGCGCCCAGCCCCCCAACCTAGCCATGCAGCTTAAGCAACTCCTTTCCCTCTCTGGCCTGTTTCTTCCTTTTAACTTTAGTGGAGTCTGTGAAACTTTTCATTGATTCCTCCTCTGCAAGGAAGGGACTACCATTTCACTGGTCAGGAACATTTTTAAAGCTATTTTCCGGCTCTCAGTTTTAATTTTGCTAAAGCACAACACAAGTACCCTTGTTTCATTACAAATCCCACACAACAACTCAAAAAAGAGAGGCCGCATATCCCCAGGCAGACAGTTGACGCCTCCTCCATGTCCCTAGGTCTTCCTCTCAGGGCTGTGACTCTCACCCATCCTTCTGTCGAGGCACTCGTGGGGGCAGCCAGAAGGCACCCCCCCTTGCCCGCACTCCCCTCAACACCGAGGCCCCCTTGCAGGTGGCATTCTGTCCCCTGGACGCCCAGGAGGGCTCCTTGCTGGTCGACCAGGAAGACAGTCTGCCCAAGCTCTGCAGTGCCTGGGGGCTGAGGGACAACATCAGCGGCATGAAGGAGCGGCTGTCCCAGATGCAGGCCCCCGGCCTCCCCGGGGCCTCCCTGCCGCGGGACCCGAGCCCACGGATCCACATCAGGAGAGGTGATGTGCAGGGTGGGCGAGCCCTGGGAGGAGGGGCTTGTCTGGGTGCTGCCCGCCTGGGGCCACCTGACTCTGGCCGCTGCCATCTTCCCTTGGCCCAGCCTTTCTCTTCCTGGCTTTCCTTCCCCTTCCCCACTTTTTCTTCCCTTTTCCAACTCCCTACCCAGGCTCCAGGTGTGCTTACTACAGAACCTTGAAACCTACAGGTGAACGTAAAGGAGAGAGCGAAATCACCCAGGGGCCTGGCCTGGCCCTGTTAACTTGTGTGTATGTGCGCGTGTGCGTGCGTGTGTGCGTGCGTGTGTGCGTGTGTGTGTGCGCGCGTGCGTGTGTGTGTGAGCGAGTGTGTGTGCGTGTGCGTGCGTGTGTGCGTGCGTGTGTGCGTGTGTGTGTGCGCGCGTGCGTGTGCGTGTGCGTGTGTGTGTGTTTCCCCTTAGTGTTCTGTACACCTGCCCCAGACCCCTGTGGAGGTCTCTTGATAGTTTTGTATCCTGCATCTTTCAGTTACCATGTAAGCAAAGGCACAGGATTAGACTGCTAATGGAGCCAGGAACAGGACTCCCTGAAAGTGTCTAAGCAGCAAAAGGACGCCCTCTGCCAGTGTAGGGTGGAACATGGCTAAAGGAGGAGGAAGTCCAACGGATGGCCTGGGAATGGCCTCTAGCCAGCACTGGTCTCTGTGTGACCTCCGGCCTGGCTCTCTGGACTAAGGCTGTGGGTTGGAGAACACAGCCCCTCAGTCAGAGGGGTCTGCTGAGCTGAAACCTATGAAAGCACCTCTCCGCCCTGCACTACAGAAAGATGTTGGCGCCACTCACCTCTTATTCTTCTGGAACTGGCTTCCTGGGCCACAGTTAGCTGATCTTGTTCAGCTACCTGCTAGGGCGGCAGGGGATGTGAAGGCAAATGGCGGCCTGAGGGTCTTAAAGCAGAGTTCTGAATTGAACACAGGTATGGCTCTGCAGACCTAGCTAACTGGGGCTAATGCAGGTCAGCAGCCTTCAGGTGGCCTTAGGGGCAGCTCTTTCTAAGTCAGAGTTGAACCCTGTGGTCTCGAGATCAAGGTAAGGACGGTAAGGTGCAAGGGGCTGGGGTTAGATTCAGGAGCTACTGAAAGCCAGAACCCAGCATGGGTGCTGGGAGAGTTCCCTTGCCCTTAGTTTAAATTAAGGACATCAAACAAAACAATGGAATAGATCATCATTAAGATGGTCTAGGCCAAGTGATCCCTGAATCAGATGAGAAGCACCAGCTCCAGGTTTTTGGGTCAACCTTTCCCTGGGCCAGGTGCTTTGTATCTCTCTACCTCACTGGGCCCCTACAGCACCCTAGTTAAATAGGTGTTAACACCCCCCACCCCCTTTACAGAAAAGCCATTGAGAAAAGGCAAAGGTAGGACAGGCTATGTGGAGGAGGTAATTTTGGGAACAGGCTCTCTGGAAAAGAGAAGGCAGGTGGGGGAGAGGCGGAGAGGGAAGGAGAGGGAAGAAGGGTGTGTGCAGAGGTGAAGGCAATGAGCAGACAGCCCTGCATGCTTGAAGCACAGATGGGCAGGATAAGGTATAACAGGAAGCAGTCTTGGCTGGTCGGTTAATAAGTCTGGCTTTTGTACGGTTCTTAAAATAACATTTCATTGCTTCAAACATAACCATATCACAGGAAATAAGGTAATACATCTGTATTAAGCAAAAATAAGAAAATATGAACATCACATTGGCATCAGCACTGTTAACAATGTCCAGATCATTTTTATGCATATGAATATGCACAGCCCTTGAACATTTCCAGAGCTAGGGGAACCAGCATCCCCACTCCACATGAGGAAATCCTCATATAACTTGACTCCCCCAAATTTTAATATGGTCATTCTGGGTCTGGGGTGTGGGAGGGATTGCTTTTGAGAAACCTCTCAGATAAAATCCAGAGAAGCTCAAGGCCCTCATAGTTCACCTTCTGCATTCTCAGGTTCCAGTGTGTGGACTTTAAACTAGCAGATTAGGGAAAATCCATGCCTTAAATGGACAAGTGCAGTTCCAAGCCATGTTATTCAAGGGTCAACTGCATGTCTACTTTAACCAACACAAGACCTTAGTTTGTTAGTTTTCCAGTTAATTGTGTCAGTCTTCATGTTAATGTTTTCACTTAATTTGATAATTATTCCCTTCATATTCAAATTCCCAGTAGAGGTGTGGATTGTACCACTCCCCCACCCATGATTTTCACGGCCCTTTTGTTCCCCTCTGACCTGTTGAAGAGACTAGTCTGTTCTGTAAAACCTACTTTCTGCTTTTTTCTTGTTAATTCCTTTGGCACCTTTTAGAATCGACCTGTAAATAGAACTTTGGATTAAAAGTCCTGTTGAATGGATGTTACTCATTTGGGCAGGGGTATGTTAGGGATAGGGCAAAATAAGGCAGTTTATCCTGTGTGATCCATGGAAGACACTCACTGCCTGGTGGGCCCGCCATGACGGTGCTGAGACCCTCCGCTGAGCCTGTTGTGCATGCTTTGTCCGGTCACTTGGCACTTTGCTCCTAAGTCAGGTCACAACATGTCAAAGATGTTTGCAAACAGTTGTGCAGCAAAGTCCCAGAAAGTGGGGCCTGAAACCTAAGGCAGGGCTGAGGAGGCCTCTGAATCTGAAGCCAGAGGTCAAGACATGTGGGCCTGGTCCCAACTTACCCTTGGGGTTTGGACAGCCCATGGCCTGCCTTTGTCCCTGCTGACCCTTCATCTGTAAATTGAGTTGCAACCATCTCCCTTCTGCACAGCTGTGTGTGAGGACATAGTTCAGATGCAAGATTTTTTGTTCTTGTTCTTTGTGATGCCATTGGGATTGTCTCTGACTTTTTTTTTCTAGGTCCTTTAAGGAAAATTCCTCAAAAACCAAAACTCAAGAGAAAGAGGGTTAAGGAAGCCCCAGAAACTCCAGAGACCTGCCCCTAAGGTGCTACCTGGGTTTAAGAGTAGGGGACCCTGAGAACTTGTCTTCAACACCTGTTCACTGGGGAATGGGGAACTTTGAGGTGATGGGGAAAAAACTGTCTTTCTCCAAAGAATACTCACATCTTAATTATGTCTAAATGGAGGCAAAAATAAAGATCCTTAAGATGGTTTTCCTTTACTTGGCTAACAATCACCACTCATTTTTTATTTATTTAAAAAAATTGGCCAGTCACCTCAGCAGCAGCTACCCCCAAACATACACAGAGGACTTGTGTCAGGGACCTTCACAGTCTATGGACCAGAACCAAACATCCCCATGGGTGAATACAGGCGTCTGGGGAAGATGCCAGAGTATCTGAGGTGTTACCAGAGGGGAACATGGGGTGGAGTGGGCCTGGAATGAATCAGAGAGCGGTAAGTGTTGAAACGATCCAGACGCCATTTGGTGGGTAACATGGGGGGGATGGTGGCCAAGAAAACGTCATGTAGCGGATGAACTTGTGTGACTGGAATATTGGGGAGATGCTCTGGAGACTCTGTAAACTGAATACATGGAAGTGAGAGGAAGGAGGGTGAAGCTGGATCACTTTTAATCTCAGGCACAAAATTCCAAATGGATTAAAGATCTAGATATACGACCTGCAGCAATAAATTGTGCAGATAGAAAAATTGGCAATGTGTTCCATGGTATCAATGATAAGATATTCTTGGAAACATGACCCTTATGGCAAGGGAATTGGAAGCAAAAATAAACAAGTGGTGTTACCTCAAATTAAAAAGCTGTTGCTTTTTGAGAGAAAATAAAAGTAGTTTAAACAGTTATCCTACTGAAAGGGAGAAAATATTTACACACTGCATAACTGAAGGAGAGGTTGATGTCTGAACTGTATAAAAACATTCAGTTAAGGGCTCTCCCTGGTGGCACAACGGGTTAAAGCACTGCATTATGAAGCTCTCAGAAGCCACTGAAGCAGGAGTTTGATCCCCAGCCAGGAAGCTGACACACATGGCGCGGCAGACCTCTCCTGGCCCCACACTGCTCCCCTCAGCAGTGTTTTCAGTACATCTGCCTGGTCTGTTCCCCACTCTGTCTCTGGTGAATCCTCCCACCCACTACACCTCTGGCCTGTACCCCAGTTCTGCAAGCATAAATATATAAATCTTTAAAAAAATTCAGTTCAGCAATAGAAAAACAATAGTGGCCAACATCTGAATAGGCAATTCACCTAACAATATATTCAGGAGGCCAGTAGATAACATAGAAAGGGTTCAGCTTTGCTCCCAGTAAGACACATGCACTGTTGAGGGAGCCGCGTTCCCAGTGGGTGATGCAGCACCGCCCCCTAGAGGAAGGATGAGATTAGACAGGCTTAATCTTCCCACCCTGGCGGGCGCGGTGAACAAAGGTGGGACGGTTCCTGTGAGTCTTGGAGGAACTGGGAGGCCTGGAAAACAGGTGCGGTTTGGTTTTGGAGCCCTCTAAACTCTTAAAATTTTACTGAATTTCAAAAAGGCAGATCCTTGTGTATCCAAAACCCTCCACAGCACAGAGGATTTGCAGGGCAGTGAAAATACTCTATCGTGTTCATGGGAGCGCATGTTAAGTACATATACTGACATACATCCCTCTGTCTGGATGTCCTGGGTAGTCTTCCAGGATTACCACCTTGTGATCTTCTCCAGTCTCCAAACCTTTGTTCGAATGTCGCCACCAAAGAGGGGGTACCTAGCATGTACCTCCCCCACACTCTGACTCTTCAGTAGTCCCTTTTTGTTCTCTTAAAGTATTTTTAATGATTATATTATATTTAATGATTATATTTCTTATTTATTGACTGTCTCCTCCACTGAAATGTAAGTTCCACAGAGGCAGAGCTTTTGCTCTACTTCTTTTTCACTGCTGTACCCCAGCACACAGTAAGTACTTAATGTTGGTAGATTAAACGAGTCAATCTGTCTAAACAGAGCATTTATTACAACAACCTCCTGCTTCAGAGAAGAAAAAACAGGCTCCAGAAAAATCACCCAGAAAGTTATATAATTCATGAAAAAACTGTAGCTCGACCTTTGACCCAGGATCCCAGGTCAGTACATGACCCAAACCCCGAGGACAATGGCTCTACCTGCTCTCAGCCCACACACTCATTTCCCACAAAACGTAAATACACCACAAGATGCAGTGCATTACTTCCCCCAGGATTGTTTGTATTTTCTATGTCAAGGTATGGCTGCTCAAGGCCTGACTCTGAAGTGAACTTGGAGCAACAGAAGCAGGGGGCTGGGAGATTTGGACTAGGGGAATCTGTATATAAATGAAGCATTTTTCTTGGCCTTGAACTGGGTGAAGCAGATGTGGGTGAGAGACCCGTTTGGAAGTTCACAATGGCAGCATTTATCTTGATTTTGATTTTGCTCTTTTCTTCCCAAACTTGTCTGGCCATTTCTGACCCTTTTCTGTGGGTCCCTTCCAGAAGGTGCGTTAGACTTGTAGCAGGCTTTCAGGTCTTGCTTTGGGCCTTTCAGGTCTCCCTTTTGGTTTTACCCACGTGATTTAGAAACTATTGTCTTTTCTGCATTGCACACTGATTGTATTAAATTCCCTTTTCATTAAAGGTCTTAATCTGTTTTGTCTTGATGGCAGAACCTATTTAGAGGGCAGGTTTGGGGGTTCAGGGGTGCCCCTCTCCCTGCCCTTTAACACTTAAAGGGGTATAGAAATTTTAAAAATCTTTAGTATTTTCCACAAAACATGTTTAATCCCGCCTTTATGAAGAAAAAAATGTTTGTCATTTTATTGACTTCATTTCCTCTCAGGATTACCTGCCTTCTCAGGGCAGCTCAGGGGAGAGTAAATATGGCTAATTCAAGAAAAGGGGTCCCATAGCTTCCTCTTGGGACTTTCATGAAGATTTGTGTGATCACCTCATTAATCCTTTTTGTCTCCCCCAACACACACACACTTTGTAAATATTACTTCTCCCACTGCAGGAGGGTCACTTCATGAAACCTCAAGTTAGATCTGAGAGTCTGTAACCAGAGAGCCTGGTGGTATTTATTACTTTGTGAGCAAAGGAAAGGTCACTCAGTACTGGTCAGCCTGTTCTGCTGAAATGGTCAGTGCTAAGAGGCAGATGTGGGATTTTCGCTCATTTCCAGTCTATGTTGTAAACCATACTGGAATGCCTTTGATATATTACAAACCCTCTACCAGGGAGAACTTAGGAAATGAAAATGGCTGTTCTTAGAGGCAAGGAAATATTTGAGGCCTGAGGGTACCCTTAGGCTTGAGTGACTCTGTCTACACCTACCACTCCATCCTGTGCTGTGCTGAGCTCTGAGCTGGAAACTTTCAATTGGCTTTAACAGACTGTCTCCTCCAACTCACTTGAGACTCCTCTTTCTTACCTAAAGTGGTTTTAATGTCATGAGGACCAAGCTTCAAAGGACATGCTCTAATGAATGTGCCTCTCTCACAAACCGGACCTGAAGCCAAAGTGCTTACCACAACCCTATTCTTGAAATCCCAAAGAACTGTTACACCACTGTGTACCTGCTGAGTCGTACTAACTTGCCATTTATTTGATAATAACCCTTCTAGTGAGTGGATATGGTTTATTAACACACTTCAAGTGTATCTCTTACAGAGCAAACTGTTAAATTTGTTAACTGCACAACTCAGCAAAATTTACAAGCTGGACATAGTTCTAATTTTGTGTATGACCATATGGTATTGATTTAACAAAGCTTCAAATAAAAAGCTGCTAAATACCAAAACAACTCAAGTATCTCAACTTAAAAGGAAAACTTCCGGGCCCTCCCTGTTGGCGCAGCGGGTTAAAGCACTGCACTAAGAAGCTAAAGCCACTTCTGCATGAGTTCGATTCCCGCCTGCCCCGGAGGTGACCACATGGCACGGCAGACCTCTCCTGGCCC